AACTATCCTCCATAGATTTGGAAATACATTCTCTGGCACATTAGGCCAAGGCTCTTTACATGTGATAAATGGTGCAGAGGTTGTGTTATTGTGATCTTTAGTGCTGTTGTGTATATTCTGTTCTACACACTGTCTGAATACGGTCTGTAGACAAAAATATTTATTTATTTATTTTACTCTTTTACAAAGTAAAACAGAAAGACTATATAATCAAAAATAGGTATTTTCCATTTAGTAAAAATGAACATGAAATTGACACAAACATTATTCTTTCCGAATATTCATGAACAAAGACAGAACAATACCTACCTATGTCAAATTGAATTTAAATGGAAAGCACCCAATAATTAGAATAAAATTATGTGCTAAACAGATAATTACCGAAGAGACATCCAATGGTAATATGAAGATTATTAATAGAGAAAAGTACCAAGCTATCAATACGGAAATAGTGACTGCAATATGATGCCGAAACACATTTCCATATTTAAAGAGTAGAGTCCCAGCCAGCAGGAATGCCACTATGATCTCTGTCAGGAAAGCGCCGAGTACCATCTTGTCTTTAATATCTGGTGCAACAGTGATATCCGACAAATTCTATAGGTCTCTAAATACTGCTGAATGCTTATGCACTTGCATTGAGACTATCCTCTGTCTCTTGCGACTCTTTGACTTTGATCTCTGCGTCTTTCTGCATTTTCTCGAGTTTCTCCAACGTGACTGATTTCAACGGGATCAACTTCGGCTTACAGAGTATGTAATTCAATGCATCTGTTTGATACAGCAGACCTTGTCTCGGCAGGACTATGTCGCACTGTTCCACCTGATTCTCTGTAGGCTCTGACATCTTCGGTCAATCCGCGATGCTTCAGAGAATTAACTATCTCTTCATCGTGACATTTGGTAGCAGAAGAGCAACGCTGTAACGTCAACTGAAGATTAATTTGAGATTTCCATGAGGAAACGATCTTTTCTAATTTAATTCTAACTTAACTCAGTATATCATAATTCTAATTTAACTCAGTATATCATTTTTTTTTATATCGAATGAGCGACAAAAGACTGGACGTTTACTTGGATTACATTTATCCTCGATCATTACATACTCAAGTCAGCTGAGAAAAGTCAGTAGTCAATTCCTTGCATACCTGACGTAAAGCAATTGACAGAACGTCGCGACAGAACTTTCTCCTTGCTGCCGTCGTTAAGACAACTCAAGTGATTATGCGATTATGCCGCCGATACCCTCACTACGTAATCGGATACAGACTGTCACTAGCGGTCACAGATGGTTGACGAACTCGGAAATCATCAGATCTTTACCACGGCTGACGACAGCGGCAGCAGAATGCGGAACCATGGATCGCGAACCATTGTCGCGAATTGAACTGACTGAAAGACAACACCTGGAATGCCTGGAATGGAACGTTGGATGTCGCGACGTGATGGTGCGAAGCTCGAAACTAACGTCGACGACTGTAGGATCTGTAGATATGTCAGCGCGGCCAATTAGATAAGTTAGATAAGTAATGACATCGACGAAATTAAAAATGATATAACTGTATGAGAAAAAAAAATTGTAATTTTGCGGTATTAAGATAATTATAGCATTGCAAGGAAAAGACCTCTATCGGGCTCTTTGTGTGAGGAAAATTTGTCTAGGTCTTTAAGAGGATGCTGGGTCTTCTTTTTTACCGATAAAGCAAGCGTTTATGTTCCTTGCGCGGTTCTTCGAATTAATTGCACAAAATAAAAATTTTTTCTCCACGATTGAAATATCCGTGCTAATGTACCTGCTCCTGGTGTATTTTGTATCCAAAACTGGGAAAAATAATAAATTACAGATTCCTGTATCCATGTTCTATCAGCTCACCAAACATTTACTTCATGAAAAAATTATATGCACGTTATATGCTCGAAATTAGGGCAGGAGCACATGTAGAATAAATAGACGAATACAGTCGTATCTTTAGAATTAAGTTTTGACGCCTAAATAAAAAGATAATTGCATTCTACAAAATTGTGTGTCTAGCCCGTGAGAAATGTCTGTACGATAGTTTAGACTGTTTAGCCATGAAACCGAGCAGTATTTTAGTTGATCTCTTTCTAAGAGATGGTGTTGCAATATGTTAGATAAGGACAGATAAATGCGTTTGAGAGAGACACAACGATATATAATAAGTATAAGAAATGAATGAAAGATGACACTATTGTCAAATTTGGAATCTAAAAAAGTCTGTACTATCGACCTTAATTAAGTTCGACCGTCACTCCAGCATCCCCTTAATAGTATTTTATCGATGTAATGAAGTAGATAAATATGATATTGATAATTCAGTAATGAGATACACTACAGATTGTCGGTGATGGTATGGCGATTCGTCATCTTGCGCCACTCCATTTGCGATGATAACGAACTCGTGACTTATAATGATATGCTACCCTTCTACGAAACGGTTGAAAATAAAGGAGGTAGTGATTGTCCTGGATTGTTCTCACTGCCTCAACTGCACTCTTTTCAATGATAAAAAAAATCTGTTCTTTGTATATATGTAATTTTTGTATATATGTAATTTTTGTATATATGTATTGATATATTTTCTCATAATATGAGTCGGATAATTGATATAATAGAGAGGAAAAGAAGAAAGAAGAAGTAAGATTCGACGACCAATTTAAATTTGTAAAAAAAAGTGCAAAAGAATTCGTTGATGTTACGCTAATTAGATATTATTATTACATTATACTAGAGATAATATAGAGACATTATTACTTGACATTGGATGTTGGTCTTCAAATCTTGAAAAAGAGAAGAAGAGAAATAAAAAAAGTCGAGTAATCGGAGAACAGTATCCAGTGACAGCTGGAGCACATAACAATTCGAAGTCAATATAAATTCACGCGTGAGAATTTATATGATGATTTGAGAGTCGGGACAACCTAATCGAAAGTCAAAGAAATACGTTCGAAATTCGTTCACTGACCAAGAAATTCGGGATTCGTTGATATACTGGAGATGAAAATGATGATGATGATGATGATGATGAGTGTACAGCTGACATTTCTCGACAGTAAATAAAAAGTGTCATATTTAGTTTCGCTGAAGGGATAAGGTGACGATAACCGATCCAGAGAGCGACGCATATCTTCCAGTTGACATGAGATAGCATGATCAGTTTACTTATTTCATTGCAGCTTGAGTTGTCATAATATTATAGCTCGTGAGAGTAAAAGAAAGTCTTTCTGCGAATGACATATTCAAGATCAAGGCCGTATATATATAGATATATTGTTTAATAATTCTTACAACAGAAGATGATTTTATAACTTTAAACTCACATTAATGTCTATTTTTATTAATTATGTGGATTAACTTTATCTCGGTTCAATTAATTTACTCTTTATATTTTTTTTAATTTCCAAAGCTAAAAAAAGATTTAAAAAATAAGTTAAATAAAAATTATAAATTAACACTACGCTTGCAATCTGTGAGTCCTTTTTTATACAAGCGAAATTTCTTTGAAATAAAGAAGGACAAAGTTCGAGTCTCCCTGCTAAAATATCTTGTTACAAAAGTGTTTAGTAATATAACAGAGATATAACTCTGAATTTTTCCACATTTTTTTTAAAAGCTTAGAACAGTAAAAAAACTTGAGTTGGACGGAGGAAGAAAAAAATGATTGCAAGCGAATGATTAATTTATATTGGAATAAATATTTTTTTATCAACAAATTAACTCAAATTGTCATATTTTAATATCATAATAAAAACATTCGTGATTTTGACGATATAAGGAAAAAAATACCTAAATAATAACAAATTCTTATTTAACGTCACAGGAAGTATTAATCGAAATGAGTTTCATAATTCAATCACACAGTCACGCCTGATAATAAAAAATATGGATAGAAAATTTTTTTTTTATTTAATGGAGAGAGAATTCAGTAGTATATAACAACTTTATACATAACTATATATATGTATTTTATCGAATTGTTAAATATTATGCATCGTCACTTGGCTTTTCGAATTTTAAATTGCATTCTGAAACGCGATTCGTTCCTGACTTCAAACTATTCAAAGTTAACAGTCGCTGATAGGCGTCACATGTTGTAAACAAATCTGAAAATGTTGCTGTGTATATATATAAATTAAACCGCAAGTAAATCAAGCTTGTTCCAATTATTGCATGTAATTGCGTATATATTTATGGATTTATTACATAATTTTTTAATCAATCTCATATACATCGATTTTTTCGCATTTCCGTAGCAAATTACTTTTATTAATTTTTAATTTATTATTAAATCCACGTCGCTAAATCAAGCGCGCGCGCCACGTCACGTGACAGCAAGTACTAAACGAGACTAAAAAAGTCCTAGTTTTCAAACGGCGACTGTACTCAATTTATCTCTCTCTTCTTCTTGCGGACGCCGTGTGCATACATCTCTATCTCGCTTTGGAAGAGGTGTAGAAAGTGCTGCGGAACCCCGCGCGACTCCAAAAGTTTATAAGTTTGAACTTTTTCATCTCTTTTCTTTTTTCTCTTTAACATCTAATCATGTATCTGTTGCATTTCAAGTTCAAGAAGTGTAGTGAATGCGATGCAGCTTATACGAGGAATGGACTCTGTATCAGCTGCATTTAGTACTTTGAGTACTTATAGGGTAGTGTATTCCGTTTCACTCATGATGTGCATAATACATCATTTATCCTTGTTTAACATTTGGTGAACAACAAGGATAAATGATGCATCATGCATAAAACGGAATGCATCCATAATCATCATTCTGTCTTCATCGTTCGTTAGACTTGAAACAAACATAGAAGCACCGAAAGCTCTGAAAGTGTCCAAACCGAACGCAGGTCGCGGCATTACGGCTGATTGTAGCCCAGGCTGGCCCGGCTGGCCGTGTCGTCACTATTACCACCACCACGCCGACCACGCCGCCGTCGCCGCGGCGGCATCCCTGATCCCTCCACCACGAGTGGAGTGTGGAGTCCGCCGCCGCGGTTCAAAACCTGTCGGTCTGCATTCCAGTGTCGCCGCCGGTGAACGCCAAGCAGCAGCCGCCAGGAGCGGTAAGCGTGGTCTCCGTCTCGTCGTCAAGCGCGTCCCGTTCCGTTTTGCCGACGCGTTTTCGATCGCTCGTTCGCTGCCTCGGCGTCACCACGTCCGTTGAATACACGCCAACTGCGCGAACATGAAGTACGGAAGTAAACGAGGGTGAACCGGGTCGTCGCGCACGCGGAGGAAGCGGGGAAGCAACGTCCCGTGAAAGAGGAGTACTCCACAAAGGAGCACGCGGGCCTGCACCGGCCACGTCTCTGTAGTCGAATCTGTGGTGTGTGTCCATCCCGAATTACATCTCGTGAGTCGACGAGCGACGCGCGGGGCGCGAGGATATCCTCTCTTTCGGCGTCGACTTCGGTTGGCGTGCGGCCGGATTGAGAAAAAGGGTAAGCACGCCACTTCTCTCTCTCTCTCTCTCCCTCTCCCCCTCTCCCCCCCCCTCTCTCTTTGCGTCTCCCTCTTTTCTCTTTCTCTCTCTCTTTCTTTCTCCAGACGGATGATCTCGACCCCGGTGCGGATCGATCGATCGCGCGATCGTGAACCCGGTCGGTCCTCCGCTCGGAACCGCTCGCGTCCAATCGCTCCGATCGTTTTGGTCGCTCCATGTCCGGAAAGGGAGCATCAACACCGGATCACCACGCTCGGAGATTTCCGTTTCCACGGGAGAGAATTATACAGCCCGGACACCAGATCCGGATCTTCCCGTCCGCGTTGCATTACGTTCTCGGTATTTAGAGTGGATACACACGCTCGTTCTATTTGCACCGTCTACATGCGAGACGAGGTGCGCAACCTCGGAGGGAGAAGGAGAAAAGAAGCGAAGTGTGGAAGAGATACGACTGGGAGAGACGGGCCCTGAGAGCGTTTTCTTCCGCGTCGAATTAACTTCATTCGCACGTATTGTTTAGTCTCCTTTTGTAAGACCCGGTTTTACCAACGTAAGACTTGACGATTAACTTCACTCTCGGTTTAACTTGTAGTTTATCTTTTTCTAACTCTCAGAATTAGAAATGCTGAAATTAGAAATTCTGACAATTAGAAAAAGATAAAAGAGTAAATTGAACTGAGATTAATTTTACATTGGTGAAATCGAGTCTGAGACCGGTATTCGATTCTTATATTTGAGATTGTCTTAAGTACAATTTTAAGATATCATAAGCCAATCAGAGCTGTATTAGTATCTTAAAAAATTATTTAAGAGAATTTTAAAATTAGAACGGATAAATCCGGATCTACAACGGGTGTTTTAAGCTTCAAGCTGTAAGAAACAATTACAGTCGAATGCGAGGAGAATAATTGTGATTCGTCCATTCCTTATGGCTTAGGGCTTAAAAATCTATTGTAGATCCGGGCTAACGAATATTACCCTAAATCTTGGATTCTGTCTCTCCACACTTCCTAGAAACGTAATATGGAAGAGAACAAGAAGGGAAGGAATGACGATTTAATCGCGAAATTTAATTCACACATACGTGAAGAAGGATTTCAAATTCATCTTTCTTAACGGTTTGCTTTTGTAGCCTCTCCGAGCTTGGAGCAAGACTTGCGCGTATCGGGAGAGCGAAGAAAGAAGGGGAAAAAAAGAGAGAAACAGGTGCGGAGAAAACGCAGATAGGAAGTGTGTAAAAGAGATCCGACGAAACAAGTGTATTCAAGCGTCGTAGGGCGAAAGGGGAATCAAGATATCATGCAGGAGAGTACGGGAGTAACTGAAAGGAAGACCTCTCATTCGTTATCATCTGGCGTCCTTCGCTCCGAAACATCCCTCGGCGCGTCCTTTCTTTTATTCTTATTAATCTCACCTGTTTTCGACGGCGATTCCATTAAGTGCACTGCGAGACTAATGAGGGGCGAGGAGACGAAATTCGGATTCACCAGTATCGCAAACTCGTTCTCTCTCGCTCGACCGCGCATCGTTCTCAGGTAAAAATACAAAGTCAACACTTTTCGATCGGATTGTTGAACCGAAAGATCCACGAGTATTATGGGAGTGCTATACGAGATACGATCTGTCTGAATCGGCACGAGCTAGAAGCTCTATCGACTTCTTCGGAAATCTTGGAGAAACGTGAGTTACTTTTACATCCCTTAAATGGCAACCTAATGCAGTGGTAAATCTAATGCATTTCCTCACTTGCTCCAAAATTCCCTTTCTCACTTTCAGAGCTGCTTCTCACTTGTTAACGAAGCAGAGAACCCGTCCTTGTCGCCGTTGTGATCGCGATCCCCGATCCACGATCCCATAAACGCACCGCGAGAGACGGTCCTTCACTGGAATACTAATGACACGGATAGTCATTTATGGCACGGCCACGGCATTCCGTGTAGAACAGGAAGGAGTCCGTCGTGAGGATCAGAACATTTTCAGGGCGGAAGATCTCTCGAAGTGTCAGATTTTTTGGTGATTCTCATAAAGAATTATTTTTGACCGACGAGCCTCGGTCATCTCTTCTCGCTTCTCTATGCTTCCATAAATCACGTCGAATTGAATATTCAAGATATAACAGGCAATTGTGTCGATTGAAGGTCTATGTAAAAAACTTTCACGTTAATTATGAATTTCCGATTATGCTATCCGAGATTAAGCAATCACTCGATATTTGAGGAATACATTTACTAGTAACGTATTTTAATTGCCAACTAATGGCTGCATCCAGTAGAAAAAGCGGCTTAATGAGCGCTTTGCGCTGATTGGATTATACTTTTAGATCTAAATTTAGACAGAACTATTCTCCTCCAGATCTAAAAATATAATCCAATAAGTACAAAGTGCTTATTAAACTATTTCTTTTTGTTAAACGCAGTCATTGTCTGCAACTCTGTTTTTCTTTTTCTAAATTAATCTCTGTACGTAATATTATTTCTCTTCTCTGTTACGCTTCGTAAATTTTACAGCGTACGCGACACACTGCCGGTCTGTTCAACGCACCGCGACGATTAAGTCATCGTTAATACGAAGGCGCGCATCGGACGGATTAGGTGCAATTACGAGTCCCGCAGATTGCGCGTGCAAACCCATCGGTCGTGCGTGCACGCGTTCTCGCGTTGATACGTCATATATGTATACGTGCCAAGAGGGGCGCGGAGTGGACAACCACTGCTTTGGAATTCGGCTTCTTTATTTTTACGAGAGGTAACATCGGAAACCAGCCTCTTTGCGGGCCCTTCTCACCTGTTACATACCACCGCCATTTATGCTACCATTTAACCAGAAGTTAAGAGTCTCTCTCGTACATAAAACACAGCGGGCTGCCGTCGCGTCGATAATCTACCAGCATACACTCAAATGTCTTTTTCCCCTCTCCTCCTTTCTTCCCTCATTACCCCCTTTTTTCTTTCCTATCTTTCTAACTTTCTCTTTTTTTCTTTCTCAAGTTTATACTCATTTAAAATGATAAATTTGAGATTTGAGGTATACTTAAATTTCTCGTTATCCTGCTTTATTTCCTTCTCCCTCATTCGTTTACTTTATCTGATTTCTCTTCATACGTATTGAAGTATACGAGCAAAAGGCACGTGGAGACATTGTGTACAATTTAAAAATTTTCATAAAATTACGTTATATAACGCTAAAAATGAATATTCAAAGCTCTTTAATTACCATATTTTTACTATATTTAATAATAGACTAAAAAAGAATTTCTAAATGAGATTAATATGTTAATTTTTCCTCAATCGGCATCAATTTCTGTTCTCACGCGCGCCAGATAACTATTTAATTAATGAAATATTCAAAATTAGTATTCTAAAGTCTTCTATTAAATTGAATCAAAGAGACACGTCGATTACATATTAATCACTTGTTATATTTAGTATTATACTAGTGCTGGTGAAAAAATGAAAAAGACTGTACTAATTAAGTAATAGTCATTGTGCATTTTAATCACGGATTCGAAGGAGATATCCTTCGTTCATCAAGCATCTTAATATCGTCTCTAAAATCGAGGCGCGTTCTCGTTCACCAGGTTTTTCCGCCATTGGGAAAAGTCGCGATAGTTTCAGATACATTAAGGCAAGCATGTGGGTGCGTAGTACGACGTCGCGATCCGTGATGTGAATGGATATACCTACGCGCATAGCAGCATATCGTAGCGCTATATAGCTCGACGAAAAAGAATTATTACCGTCGCTCTTCGCCATCGCGGGCGTGCTGCGCGCGAGTGTATGCTTTTCTGATGGCCTCGCACGAGAGGGCACGTGGGTGTAAAACGGTTCGCGCAATGAACGGCAGCTTTCGACGCCGTATATGGATATTTTCTAGACAGCCACGCGTCACCCAGCCTCACCACCGACTCCCCTTTTTTCATTATCATTACACGCAACTAAAAACTCGTTACATTTCATTGCTCGATATCATTCATCGTTGTGATTCGCATAAGGATCGTTCTTTCGCTGGTTCTTTCAACCGCTAAACTTATTTTCTTTTTTCTTCTTTCCCTTTTATAAAGTTTATCAATGTAATAATTTTTTTTTAATTATTACATTACAAGGATTGTAAACATTGCAACGAGAAAACGTGTTTATGAAGCAGTGTGTTCTTATGTATGCTGTATTTTTGTAGACAATTATTATACGCTTTTTCCTAACTTCAGAATGATAAACGTGTGTTGTATTTTATTGTATGTGCTCTGTTAAATCTATAGGGGCAAATTTCACTTAACGTGAGTCGCCACTGCTCCTATTCAATCTTATCGTTATTTTATACTAAAATAATGGTTATATTTGACACTATACAGTGTCAATTTGACGATATAGTGTCAAATTTAATTATCGTTTTGGTAAAAAGTAATGATATATTTAGTAGGAGCAGTGGTGACTAACATTAGATTAAATTTGACTCTATAGATTTAACAGTGTAAAGCCTTAGACACAACGCGAGGCAACAGCGATAGGAATAGAATACAGAAATAAGTGATATATAATTGTCACGTCTCGTTGCACAATGCCGCGAAAGAAATAAAAGGCCTGTAATCAATCTGATCGCGTATAGACTGTAGCACATGACTCTCTCATCTGCTTCAAGATTATAGCGTACCTATATAAACAAAATGAAAAATCTGAATTGTAAGCTATAAGGCGATAGATACAGAATTTCACCTCGCCAAAAATTATCATTGCCCTATTCTGTGTTCCTGTATGCATTAACATATGCATTTTCGAATGTTGGATTCCTCTGTTTCTATCGTTATTTCTATCGTTATTGCTGTTGCCTCGTATATTTAGGGCTTAAAATATGTTACTACTACAAGATAAATTATCATTTCGTGCCTCTAGGGTGAAAAATATGTTCTATTTTCTCGTGAACTCGGGCGTTCTAAACTTAAACGGTGTGCTTGCTCGGTATTAATTTTAGTAGGTCTTCGCCGACACTGCGCGAGCCGCATGTTTGCTTTCCCGCGGACGAAGGACCGGAAAAACAACTAGTATAACGCGAAATGCCTGGTTAACGTAATGGCACTGTCTTCTTTCGTGCTTGCAGAATGTGTCAAGATGACATCTATCTCCTCTTTATGTGGTATCATCGTTATCCTGCTTTACAGTCCGATCGCATATACATGCGGTAAGTTTCTTAGAACGATATTACGTAAATATACTCCGAGCACCGTGTGAAAGAGGATAATAATAATGTTTTTGATAACAGAGAACGACAAGATTCCTGAGATGAATATGTCCTTTACTCGACACCCTCAACCTCTAGCAGTTCCGTTATCTGACGACGTAAATTTTGAGTGTAGTCTCAATATCCCCGCGGAGCGTTTCGCTTGGCATCACAGGCCCCTGGGTTCAAACAAATGGACACTATCGTCTGATACCTACAGCAATACCGGTGGCAAAACGTCTCGGCTCATTGTCTCCTTTGATAACGTGTCGAAGGCCGGAGATTACCGTTGCATTGCGTTCTTCGGTGAGCCACCCCAAAAATTAGTATCTTACATACTTTATTTAATCTGTAATCTATTTTTTACCTGCAGAAGCTATGCGTTTTGCTGCAGATACTCTCAGGCTGCTCTTCGCCCTGATAAAGTGAACTGCAATATTCACGAAACGTTGGCATTTTGATAATAGATTTGGACAGGGAAATAACTCGCAAAACGCATAGCTCCTGTATGGACAATTTTTGTGGCAGCCTTAAAAGTTTTCTGTCTAATTTTATTTAACTATACTTTGTTTTATTTAATACAAGTATCAAGATTGCGCTATCTACGAGAGAGATCTTGGTTTCTACACCAAGAGATTTGTATAAACTTTTTTTAATTTCTTCACAGGTAGCAGTGGATTAGTGTCGGATCCAGCGAGACTAACGCTCGCGACGATACAAGAGTTCTCCGACAAAAATGATGTCTACATCGAGGTGACAGAGGGTAATACCGTGCCTATTACATGTCCTGTACCATATTCCGAACCGGAAGCCATAGTACAGTTTTACAAAAATGACATGCTCATCAAGGACGCGAATCTAGTGAATGGCAAAACCATGGTCATCAAGGATGTCAGATTGGCGGATAGTGGATCATACTACTGTAGCGTTAACAATTACATAACGACGGTAACATTGACAAGCAATCATAAGACCATCTTGACGGTACACGCGAACTTGACTTTCCAACCGCCGTATCTTACCAAGCTACCGCAAACGGAATATATAGTTACGCGTGGTAAGAACGTTACACTGGAATGTTTCGGCGCTGGTTACCCTGTGCCTCACGTCACCTGGAGTCGCCTAGGCGGTTCTTTACCATCGAAGTCCGTGAAATCGTCCATCGGTTTGACGTTGGTCCATGTTCAACCTTCCGATCGCGGGGAATATGATTGTGTATGGAGCTACGATGTCCGACAGATAAAATCGGCGATCATTTTAAGAGTGGTGGAACCACCGAGGGTCACGAGACAGCCAAGCGCGTGCAAATTCCATGAAGGCGGAAAATTGCAGCTCTCGTGTAACGTAACAGGCGAGCCGCAACCAATCGTCGAATGGCTTATCAACGGAGAATCCTTGATGCCTAGTAAGACACAAGAGATGATAGCCTCCACTCTTCTTATATCTGAGGTCGAAAAGAAGCACGCCGGGATCGTTCAATGCGTCGCCAGCAACGACTATGGATCGCATTCGGGATACAACCTGTTGCAGGTTCAACCGAAAGAGCATATTGTCGGCGGCAAGGCCGAATCGAAGCCGAACTACGGGACCGTGTCAAGGCATAAGCATACCAGGGGCGGTGGTAGACGTAACAAAAATAAAGAAGCAAAGAAAAAGGGAGACGGAGGTAATTATTTGTTTTGTGTTATCATTTCGTATATTTTGTTATCATTTTATCAAACGTTTGGCTGAGATATCGTCGATTAAGTCCCTTCAGCACGATTTTCTTTTATGAAGAATTGCAGAACTCATAATTTTTATTAAGATTAAAATTGAACGGGGTTTTTTTTAATTTTAACTGCGTTTTTATGTGATTAATTTTAACATAGTATGGCTTTATTTGACGATCAACTTTTGGCGTTTTTGATTGAGATTTTTAATTAAATACAAAATTACATAAACAAACTGAAAAAAATTAATTATAGCGCAATTTCAATTATCAATTTTATTTTCAATGTTATTTTTTATATCTAATTTTTCTTTTCAATTGTGAATATAATGTATCCAATCTCCGTATTATACAGATAGCATCCAGATTGATATATTAAATATGCATGTATATAGCAAGAAGATCGAACTTTTTTGCGTGGGGGTCCGGGGGGCGGAGCCCCTGGTCAGAGCTCGCGAGCCTCCAAAGGCAGCAGCGCGAGCAAGCTAGTTGTTTTTATCACTTTTCCTCCGAACGATGCCTTCCCTACGCTTACCGCCCACCATTGACTCAATGGTGTAGCCTTTGGTGGATAATTCTACCGCTTCGATATATGAGCTCTAATTAGTTTGACCGTGTTCGAACATTGTCAGTACTAAAAATTTATAATATATGTAACATGAACTGTACTGACAGTATATATTTAAACACGGCCTTAACATACAAGCAAAAAGAACTACCATGAAAATTAATGCTCTCAATACTGGTATCCTTATGAAGACGAAAACGTATGGAACTCTCACTCAACTTGTTATTGTTATGAATTACATAATTATACATTATGGAAAAAAAGTGGTCGCACTCTTAATCTTTTTTTTTTACGTATACTACATTTTCATTCCAATAACATTTTAATTCTGTTGTTGTCTTTTATATTTTAATCAAAAGATTGACTCCTCTCTATTAAATTATTTGTCCTCCTTTCAGCAGAAATCGAGTTGAATCCTCCCGATGTGCCCATCATCACGAGATTGTCTGATATCTCCGTTATGGTGCGATGGACAGTACCGAAGAATACAGGCCTGCCAATACAATTTTTCAAAGTTCAGTATCGAGAGATAGGCTCGAAGATGAGTGGTAAACAGACGAAGTGGATGACTGCCAACTCTGAGATACCGAATCATGTGCGGTCCTTCGAAGTGACCGACTTGCAAACTGAACATACCTATCGATTTAGAATCGCTGCGGTGTATTCAAATAACGACAACAAATTGAGTAAGAATTCCGTACGTTTTCATCTCCATAGGGATACCGGTATTGAGAGCACTAAAATGCCAATACCTCTATTGACTAGAATTGAAGCGTTAGGGCCACATGAGATGTTGTTGCTTTGGCAGAATCCCAACAGATCAGCAAAAATCGACGGGTTTTATATATATCATCGGGCTTCCACCTCAGCCGGTGAATATTTGAAAACCACTGTCGAGGGAAAGGATGCTTCCAACATGACCATTTCTCACTTATTACCCGATACTCCATATGAATTTAAAATTCAAAGCTTCTCTGTAGATGCGGCATCGGAATTTTCTCAAATATTGCGACATAAAACTCAAAAGCTCGTTGTTGAACATCCAGTTCAGCAAGTCGTGGCGGAAAATAAATTGAGACCGAGCGAGAATAACAAGAATGTCAGTATACACGCCATAATCGGTGGAGTATTTGGAGCATCGGTCATTCTGGTCGCTCTCGCCTTCGCAGCGAGATTCCTATACAAAAGAGCCAAGTATAAGCAAAGTCAGGAATCGCAAAGTGAAGGTATGTGTTTTGAAGAAAAAAAGTTGATAAAAAAGAATTCTTTCATTATCTTGAACCTAGATAACATACTCTTTTTTTTTTTTTTTTGACAAGCAGGTAAACCAATAACAAATGGACGAGTAATGAACGGTGGAGTCACAGACTCCAAGATTAATATTACCTCCAATCCGCTTGCCGGCCTCGACACATCCGAAGATATAATGCAGCCTAAGGTCAGTATTTGTAAGTAACAACATTTGCACTTTTATTTCACTGGAAGAAAGTAACGGAACTGAATTCGGTCATTTGGCATTGATCCATCGATAATGAGAAGGCATTGAATTTCGCTTTCAAGCTTTCAATTCTATAGCTGCGCTCGCTTTGGGTGCGACATACTCGATTTATTGCTCAACTTTAATCAGTCATTTACTTTCCTTCCGGAAGTCAGTACGATTCTAGACGAGCGCGGAAAAGTACACGTTAATCACGTACATACATCAAAATTCTGCCGCTTTAACAATTGAATTAGCTTTGCATTTATTTTAAGTAAGATCTTTCAGTATCAACATCGACTTCTGCTCTCGTCTAATAAGTGTAAATCCGACATTAAATTGCCCGATATATTAAGGAGACTAGTCTTTTCTAGTTTTAGCATTGGTCGCGCGCTGCTCTTTAATTCTACTCGCTCTCTGCACTCTCTCTGGAGCCGCTTTTCTTTTGTTTTTCCGAACGCGACACACGCACGTTACCACTTACACGCTCTAGATCTGAAAAAAGAAGCGAACGAACACGCATGTTTCTAAATCCAGAGCGGACAACAGTCGTCGATGGAAATGACGTCGTTTCTAAACGGCCAAAACAACAATGGCAGCAACAACGGCCATAACAACGGCGACGCAGCTGGGTCTGACGTGAACGTCACGTCACATAGCGAGCCGTCGTCTCTACGCCAAGGGCCGCTACCTATCGAACAACGTTTGTGAGAATGATTGCAGCTATATCTCTGTTTTATAGACGGTAAGAATGCGACCCGACCTGACCCGCATCCTCGAAGACGGACGTTTACACCGTTGATCGAACCCACGAACATATTAATGAATTTTATTTCGCGGGAAGAAACGTAAGGGTTTGTCGATACGTTATCTCATTGAAAAATATAACTTATAGACTGTATTAACGTTCAATTATTATCGCAACGATGAGACTGTTGCAAGACATTTACAGGGTGTCTTAAGTAGATATGCTCAAATGTATTCGCTACTGTAGATTGGGATTTATTTCACGCAACTTGCATGGGAAAAGATCTGCGATGTCGTAGTTTTCTCGGCAAGTGTGATGTATTTTTTATATTCAGTATAACTCAATGTAACGATTATCGAGTATAGTATTATATATAAACAGATACTTTTTTTCAAGTCTTCTGTTTATCGATATGAAGATAGTATTTCAGACGAGAAATAGTCCCATTTTATAGTGCATCATTAGAAAGTAAAAATGATCTATCTGCATCCTATGACATATTCTTTATCTTTCTCTTTCTTTTTATAAGAATTTTATTGATATCCTTGTCCGTTAAGTAGATGTGAAATTAAATTAATGTACCTGCGAAGTAACTGACTTAACTGTTACACATCTACTTAACAGTCGTGAACTAGTGAGCATTGACTAATATTGTTAATTTTTTTATCCCTTTTTCGTGGTTTCTATCCCTTTACACACTTTCACGAAGCGAATTATATTTTTAAAAAATTTTGTACTAAAAGTTTATATATTTCTAAAGTACAGGGTGTTACAGATACATACTAGGCAGTACGATGGGTTGCGCGGCAAACTTTGTATGGCCAAGCGTGGTTTAATAGACAATGACAGTGACTTTATACATTATAAAGTTTATACTACAAAGTTTTATTATTTATATTATAAAGTTTATGTTATAAAGTTACTGTCACTGTCTATTAAACCACACTTGGCCATGCAAAGTTTGCCGCGCAACCCGTCGTACTGCCTAGTATGTATCTGTAACACCCTGTACATAACTTATACACGATAAGTATAGTTACATTAACTATTCGCGAATGTTGAAAATAAGGTAGTGTCATTTTACGAATAGAGACTAGTAATATCCTTTTTTATAAAATAATTAAGACGTAATGTGGTTTTTTGAGTCATATATTGTTAACATTATCTTGGTGTGTATGCCTGTTATTTTTATAAGTGTTTTCCTAGCTGCAAAAGAAAGATCAAATAATTTACTATATATTATTCGTGACCAATGCAATACTATACGTCATAATATCTCTGACGGTGATTTGTTATCAAAATTATATATGTATATAAAACGTTATTTTGAGAAGAAACGTTATAATATATGGTAAGCAGGAAAAGAATATGATAAAATTATATTTTGATAATTGATATTAGCGTATGGCAGCAAAAGACAATAATTGTAAATATGAGTGTACAAACTTTTCTAATAAATTGTTTAAGCGTTTGGCTTACGAAAATATTGCAATTCACAATCTGTGAATTAACACAATGAAGCTAGTGAAAATATACATTGTAAATATTAGGATAGTACTCAAGCGACATGAATGAATATATGTGCCTTACATCTTGCCTGAGGATAATGATTACGAAAAAAATAACGATTATTTATATACTTCTGTACATGTATGCTACCATTTTTTGTGTACTTAATTTTTATAAAATAAATTATATTTAAAAAAAAATGAAAAAAATGTGAGATACACGAGTCTGTGCGAAATAAAGATAAATAATCATTGATAAAGAACCGTTGAAGATCCAAGGTTGAATGTTTTTCATTAAAAGAGATATTTATAGTTCCAATAATGAAATGTTAGAATTGTCTACACTCAGTGAACATCAACTAAAAATAACATAACATTTATGATATAATTCACACTCAACATTGTAATTATTATGTAACACTATGTGTTATTGTTTGCGTTCAGCGGGCCCAGTGGTTGAGTGAGCGCTCGCTGTTATTGGTATATTCTTTTAGATCATTTAATTAGTATTTTAGATTTGGAAGAATTAATAGCAGCGAGCGCTCATTCAACTGTTGAGTTCGTTGAACACAGCCGTTGTCGTTATTGTTATGATTATTATGAATTACATAATATACATTACGAAAATATCATTTATACCAATATATTTATACAGATATATTTAGAAAGATACCAATATATTTATATTATTAAAAGATAAAATTATATATATTTTTAGTTGGTGTCAACTGGATATATGATCTATAATTCTCGAAATTCAGAATAAAATTCCATGTGTTACATTATAAATTTAATTATCACACTTTTACATATAAAATTCATCATTTCTATATACACATATGTTGCACATGTTTTTATACGTATAATATTTAATATACAGGGTGTCCGAAAAGTGTGGAAACGGTCGAATATCTCGAGAAATACACATCGGATCAGAAATCTGAAAATATACGTATTCAATGTTTTCAAAAAAGCTATCTTTTGACATCTAACATGACCTCCCACTCCCACCCGCTGTGGGTGAAAGAGAGAGTAAGTTTAAAATTTTAAATGGGAACCCCCATTTTTTATTGCAGATTTCGCTTCTTCAGAGAAGGTTACATAAATTTTACCTATTACAAACATTTTTTTGATGACAGATGGCGCTGTAATCAGCGAAATTAAAAAATGAGTCTAAAACGTTTAAAATATCTCAAGAAATACTCAACGGAGCATATTCTCACCCTGGAGGTGAATGGGCGGGTAACTTTTCGATTTTGATTTTTTCTTTTTCTGTCAAAGCCATTGTAGGTACGTCAAATTGAATTTTTAGATTCTGACTTCACATTCGTAATCAGCGATCCCAAAAACCCCCGAGTAACAAGTTTCAATCGAATTCGGGCATATTTTTTACAAATTTACTTGCCGTACGTAAAATTTCGAAAAATTTTGAGCTTATAGGCACCATTGTGAACTCAAAATCGAAAAATTAAAATTGTATACAGTACACGTTTTCGAAGTTTAACTATCGGGAACACGTTTCTGATACCTTATTACATACAAATGGACCTTCCGATACCTTCTGATACCTTATTACATACAATGGACCTTCCGATACCTGTCTACGTTCTTTTCTGCTAATTGTTGGGGATTGAAATCCATGTCGAAATTCAGTACATCTCGGCGTTAAAGGGTTAATACGACTTTTCCTGCAGAAGCGCAATCTACAATAAAACATGGGGGTTTTCTCATTTAAAATTTTAAAGTTATCTACCCTTTCACCCCCAGCGGATGGTAGGTGGGGGGTAGAATTTTTGTGTCAATAGATAGCTTTCTTGACAACATTGAATACGTACATTTTTATTTTTTTGATCCTTTGAGTATTTCTTGAGATATTTTAAACGTTTTAGACTCATTTTTTAATTTCGTTGATTACAGCGCCATCTGTCATCAAAGAAATGTTTGTAATAGGTAAAATTTATGTAACTTTTTCTGAAATTGAAGAAGTGAAATCTGCAATAAAAAAATGGGGGTTCCCATTAAAAATTTTAAACTTACCCTCTCTTTCACCCACAGCGGGTAGGGGTGGGGAGTCATGTTAGATGTCAAAAGATGGCTTTTTTGAAAACATTGAATACGTATATTTTCAGATTTCTGATCCGATGTGTATTTCTCGAGATATTCGACCGTTTCCACACTTTTCGGACACCCTGTATAATTTATTTACGTGTGATTTCTTAAATTTTCTTGCGTATTACGTACATATGTACGTAGAATTACGAAAATAGAGATTCGTCACGAGTTATAAGTTTAAAATATGAATTTAATGATTTTTCTTATTTCTTGTTGCGGCCATCGAACGTTTTTGAACCAAAGGACAGATCCCGCCGACACCTGTGCCTCTTCCGGCCAGCTGGACAGAGGGCGCCCGACGGTTCCGCTGCGTGGATTTAAAAGTAACCGTAAACCGCGTGTAATGTGTATCACGACTTCGGAGAGTGCGGATTGGATGCGTTCGTATGTACGTGCACAACATAAATAAATCGAGTAAAACATCACAAAGAACATTGTCCTTCGCGTGGATTTAAAAGTAACCGTAAACCGCGTGTATCATATATCTCGGAGAGTCTGCGGATTGTAATGTTCGTAGAATTCATCAAACCAAGGAACGAAGCAAGGTAACTAGACCATAACTCTGCAGCTAGAAACGATTCACGAGGTTCGTCAGAATAACGCATGTCGACTTCTGTTTTTTTTTCTCTTTTTATTAGCGACCGTGAGAAACCATAAACACCGGTAGATCTCCTCAACGGCCGGCGGGGCAGGCTTGAGATCAGGATGTGCGATTTGATAGACCTGAACAGTCCGGATGTGAGGGGAGCGCTGGAACCGGCGAGGTTGGCGTCGCCGTTGATCCCAGCGCCGAAGAGTATCGAGTGCAACAATGGAACGGGCTTGGGGTCGATGACGGAGAAACGTGAGGGTGATGGCAACAATCCATTCGATCGAGTGTTGCACGAAACCGTCGAGTACGTCAGCAAGAAGGGTGATCCCTTCGAAGTGATGTTACAACGAGCCTTGAGATCTAAGAGTTTGAGGAACGCACAATCCGTGGACTTTACAGACGACTTTACACCGAGGAAAAAGAGATATTTCAAAACGATGAACAAGACGTTGGGTATGCTCGACGAGTCGTTGTTCAAAAGCAGGTTTGGCTTGTTCACTGGAGACAAGAAGGAAGCAAAAATCAAGACGAGAAGCGTTGGTATCGGTGCGAGAAACGCTGACGTTTGTGACAGCGATGCAGCAGATAGTGTGTCTCTCTCTAAGCAGGAACATAAGATATCTGTTGTTGCTTCAGACTCACTCGAGTTGTCTATCTTAAACCAGTCTGCGATGAACGACACGCTGCTGGAAGGATTTCCTAAGTCCAAGGAGACTGACAAGGTGTCACCTTTTCTAGAGAAAGATATGGCATTCGAAGAATCTGTCTTCCCTTCAAACGTCAAACATTTAAAACTGTTAGATACTCAGCGTTCGTTATCACAGGGATCAGGAAAATCACCAACAGGATTACTGTATAAGAATAGAAGATCACAATCCGTAATAGAGGACCAGAGGAAAGTCTTGCAGAGTGACAACAGCACTATGTCATCCTTCCTGGACAGAGGCTTCGTGGAGAGTAGAAGCGAGCAATCTGTGTCATCCAGTTTATCAAATATCTCGTCTATAACAAAATTGACTTCTGCTTCACTATCATCGTCAATACTATCGAATGATCCTATGAATCACGCTTTCTTGGATAACAGCTCGTTGAAAATGGGTCAGGATAAGATGAGTACAACTGAAAGTTCTATGGAAATGAAGCTGAAGCAGTACGATTTATCGGACTTGACGGACAGATTTAACAAATTGAAATGCATTATGAATAATACAACCAATATCTCGAGTATAACGGAGGAAGACTCGAATTCCATGAAAGAGGAAAATATCAAACGAACCGCGAATAATAAATTAATAGATGTCGATGTATTTGTTCCAGAACAAAATAAAGAATTTAACAGAAGCTCATCTTCTACTTGTTCTTCGGACTCTGTATTCACTGTAAGATATTTAATATAATTACATTTTGTATTGCATTTAGATTTATTTTATAAAAAATGTTTAAATTTGTGTTTATCATTTAGTATCTCAACATCTAAACCTAAATGAATAGTTTCACAAAAATAATTTATTTCTAAATTATTTTGATATTGAAGCAGAACATAAAAATTGATTACAGAATACAAGTAAAGTCGATAAGTCGATTCTGAAAGAAGCCAAGGTACTTGCAAAGACTTTTGAGGAATTGACATCGAAAACTGATTCTGGATGTAAGTATTTTATGTATTTATTATAATACTCGCAATTAATTTAAGTTCTTAGCAGTTCTTCTTTTATTGTTCTTTTTTTTACCAGCTAATATAGAAGATGATTTTATTTCCAATAATACTCTATGGATGTCAGAGTTACTACCAGCATTTGAGGATGAACTTGTGGTAAATGATTTAATTGATTTACCTGTGTCGCCGAAAGGAAATTCAAAAGACATTAAAAACAGTGATACAAAGCAATCTCCTGCAAGTATCGATAGCACGGAAGAGAATATATTTAAAGAAATGGAATCACCATTTACCGATAGTTTTGTTGTAAAACAAAACATAACTTTGTTATTGTCGGATCTTAGAAAATTAGTTAAAGAAAGTAATCCGAAAGCTAAAACATTACTCGACGATCTTGAAAATATTTTAGATATTAATTATAAAAATAATACAGAATTATTAGTAACTTGTTTCAATACGTCAAATAAATCACAAAGTTCTCTGAAAATATCTTCGGAAAGCATCGAAAGATTCGATAAATCAAGTACAGGTAAAAGCGAAGAAAAAGAAGATGACAAAATATTATCCTCAGAAAAGCTTTGTAGTGATGAAAAATCGCTGCCAGACATAAATAAATTGAAAGATACATCACAAGATATTGCCAGCATTGAGAAATCATCAAATATGTCTTTATCCTGTAAAGATAATAGCGAAGATTGTATGAATACATATAACTTATCAGAACACAGTAAACATAAGGAAAAAGAAAATCAAGTGGATAAAAAGGTAGCGATAGAATTGTTGGTAAATCTTAAAAAATTATTGAGTGGTCAGGCTGAAGATGCTATGACAGTAAAGTTAATTAAAAATATAGGAAGAGCGTTAAATACCGCATTAAATAGCTCTGAAAATAAAATGCAAGCGAATTGCACTGAAAAACAGAATATTCAACAGACTACGCCTGTACGAAATCTTTCGGAATTTGGTCGTAATGTGTATTCGTCCGCACTTTCGACAAAAGTAGTGCATAGACGAAGCTTGGAGTCAAAACCTAAAGTGAGTAAATATTTATTTTATCTTCTACGATAAAATTTTAATTGTCTTTATTGTATTTTTGCCGTTTGAGAAGATAGACAGAAAAAGTATATCCGCAACTGAGTCGTTGCCCAAGAACACGCAAATAAACAGACGTAAGAATACATCTGAATCTGAGAACCGTCAGAAACGTTTTTCAAGTGATCCTGGATTTATTAACAATTTATCAAATAAAAAACTTATACCAGAAGCGTACAATTCAAGAAAGGGTAATTTGTATTATATATTCTGCGCCTTGTTATTACATGATTATTCAGATATATAAATAATTGAATTACATTTCGAAATGTAGATAATATACATTTGTGTGATATATAGGGTGGTGATTAAGTACTCTAAAAAATTTTAAGAAGTAATTCCTCACACTAAATCAAGACGAAAATTTCATATAATTGTATGCTCGAAATGGCTTACAATTTCAAAGATACACAGGATGTCAAAATTGAAAGAAACATTTTTTCCAAAAATTTCAGAAACCACTTTTGTGTATTATTTTGATAAAACTTTAAACATATACAAAGTTCCAACTTTGGCACCCTGTATATTTAAAACATATGATCACATAAAATTTTCGTTTTGATTTATAATGTGAAGAATTATCCCTTAAAATCTTTTAAAGTACTTAACTATCATCCTGTATAGATAATCGAATTGAATTACATGTTAAAACATATTTCAGCGGAAGTTGCAAAGTCTGATAGCGGAAAAGAGAAATCCATTGCTATAAGTGACGTTAAAAATAAACTGAAAAAGAGATCAGACGTAGTTAATAAAAGAGGTCCTATGAAAGCAGTGCATCCTGTAGATAATATACAGAAAAGAAGAGGTAGATCTTCCTCTTTTAAACCTGTTGAAATAATTCGAAGAAACTTGATTAATTGATAATATCGAATGCTTATTAAATAGAATTAATTATTAAATTAAAATACAAAAATTGATATTTTTTATTATAACTAGCAACTAAGCGCATTAATGTTTTATTAACTGATAATATAATTTGCATCAGTTGGGAGACAGGCGCCATCTTCTCAAATCACTACGCCACCAAAATCCGACAAAGCTATTCCATCGGGTAATAAAATAATCAGCAGCACCCCAAATTCGACGGATAATTATTACATGCCCAAGAAACCCTCAAAATCAAAACCGATAGCCTCGTCAACACCAGATGGCCAAAATAGCAAAAGTGCACCGTTGATATCCGCTAATAAAAAGCGTAACCTTTCTTGCGATATCTCGCCGGTGACTACGCATGTAAATATGTTGAGCAGCGATGAACGGAAGGACAGTCCTAAAAGGTAAGAGCAAATCGATTTAAAACAATCAGAGAGAGAGAGAGAGAGAGAGAGAGAGAGAGAGAGAGAGAGAGTTCTTTAGTTCATTATTTATCAAAAACAAAAGATAGGAGTCGATTTAAAATAATGATCACTTCTTTAGTTTATCATTTATCTCAAAAGTAAAAAAAAAGGGAAAACTGTGAAGATAAGAATATGTAAGAAACGAATTCGTTTATGTTTCAGAATGTCTAAGCTGCCAACGCCGAAGAAATGTACAACACCTACGCGTCAGCGAACGAACGGTATTCCGAGGTTCCTGACGCCACCGAGGCATTATTCGCTCAATACGAATAATCCGCAGTCGCCGAAGCGCTTGAACAAGAGCTTAATCAGTTTTCAGCGGTATTCCCCTGCGAGTGAGAAGAACGGAAAGACAAGGCAGCAGAGTCCGCTGAAGGAAACTAATAGAATTACACCGAAAGTTAAACCATTTAACTTGGTACGTGTGTAAAGTGTTTCGTACGAGTATTATCGGATCAATCTTTTACATTTATGCGCAGGTTTCCAAAATTAAGCGACATAGTATCAGCGATTTTGCCGAGAAGGAGAATAATTATGTGCGAGATTGAAGCGAAAAAAGGAGTAAATCGAAACGACCGCGCCGTTGTGATATTGATAGTGTATCGGAGATTGCTTCGTTGAAAAAATTGTCGTAAGACATACGGTTTTTGTTTTATACTTTTGTGATAATATTTATATGTTTTATAATAAAATGTACGATTCGACCGTTCGCGGGTCTTAAAGTAATCTCATTAGAGCGTTTTTGTACAAACATTATGTGTATCCTCAAATTTATTTACGCAATTTATTTTCTTCTTCTTACGTTAGACCTCTGGCCTGTGTTACACCTCTCTCACATGCTTTTGGTGCACACGCTGATTATTCAATTGCCACAAGCATACGAGACCTACAGTTTTAATGCCGGTTCCAAACGGCGGATTTTTCGAGAGGTGTTTCTATGGGCAAGGATACTCTCGGGAGGTTGCCGGCCTTTTCCGAAAGAAAACACGAGCGTAGATGTTTTGATTCCTACTGGGATCGAACCTGGGATCTCTGGTATGATAGACCAGCGCGCTGTCTGCTATGCCACGCTCGCGCTCACGCACTTTATCAATTCCAAATAATTTCAAACAATAGAAGAAGAAGAAAAAGAAGAAGAAGTGATGCGTACCTTTTTTTTTAACGGTATTATTTATTTTCAAAAAGCATTTTTAGAAATGGATAAAGCCTCTCAGGCCGTATAATGTTTATTTCGTTTTGATAAAAAAGAAAATATGATTTGATATTTTTGTCTATGAGCTGGCGCGTAAAAAATGTACACAGGTTGCGCATCCACTGGTTTAAAACAATGCAATAATGAAATCCCAGGTTTATGAAAAAGTTAATAAGAGATTCGACGAGAGAGGCGAATTATATATGAAGGTTCAGGACATAACTCCGATAATTTTGAAAATGTTTCAATAACATGCTTTAAAAATTTATTTCCCCTTCCTCCCAGTTGTGTGTAATGATTTATTGATTACAGCATAAAATCTTCGGATGCGCAGCGCGAATTGAAAACACTTGCCGTTAATATGAAAAACTGTTATAAGTTTTTGTACGCGGCATTAAAAAAAAATGTTCACATCCGTTCGCGTGGAATCCGTGATTAAAATTTAAAATCGAAAAGGTTGCGGCTGTTCCGTGCGATTCGTCCACGCATGTGCTGCCCCCCCCCCCACTCTTGTCGTACGCACGCATGCGTCTGCGCGCGCAGAACCATATGATCGCCTCGGTCCTCGCCGCCTTCGGTCGACGGCGGCGCCGCGGATTTCGGAAACGGCAGATGCAGCATTGTATCTGAGGCTGGATTTGTGGGCGTCACGTGCCTTCCCGAAAAATTTCTTTTTCTGAGAACTTGGGTGAGTTAATATCGAAATTCGAAACACTGACTCTTCTTCGACTTTCACATTCCTCTTCCAACGTAATTCGAGTGGCTACGCTGGAGAATAGACGCTCTGGTGGAGATCGCGATCGAATTCCGATCAATCTAGTTAATTTACCATGTAACGCGCGTTGTAATTCGTTCATGTTCATTTCTGCTAATGTAGTATTAATCTGGTTTAACTTATTTTTTAGCTTTCTTCAGCTTTCTAAGAATAAGAAAAAAATAGAATAAATTAAATCGAGACTATTGTCTAATCTACATGATATTAATCTACATTGATAGAAACGAACATAAAGCAGCTGGAACTATTGTTTTTCACGTATGGGAGAACGAATTACAAGTTTTGTTGTAGACAAAATCTTATCGATTAACAGTCGATCAAGTTAATCGGAATTTGGTCGAAACTAGTCGTAAAATAAAAATTGGAACGTGAGTCGAAAATTGAGACAATGAAATGTAAAAGAGACATTTTCGCCTTCTAGAAACTTTGTTTCTATTACTCTCCCTTATATTCGACGTATGCTCCGATTTTTATTTTCGCCAGGATATCTATATTTTAGATCGAGAGAATCCCACTGCTCACAAATCAGTTTCGCAGGCTCTTATAAAAACGGCAAGTTCTTCGTCTGCTTTAGGCCCGATTATGTCAATGTAAGACTAATTTTAATCTCTGCTTAATTTACCGTTTATCTTTTTTCTAATTCTAAGAATAGAGAAAAATAAACATCAAATTTATTATTCGTTCTTGATCCCTATTTTGATTCAAATTTCTTTATTCGTCGGATTTCATTTACTCCAACGTGCGTGCGTCTAATTTCCGACATGGTTATGTGCGGCCATGGGAGTTGCGAAGTGCGAAGCCTGGGGCTCTATTCTTGAAAAGAAACGTATACGAAAATCTAGGGAAATGCTACAGTATACGTTACGTATACTATAGTATTTCCCTAGACTTTCGTATACGTTTCTTTTCAAGAATAGAGCCCCTGGGCTGCACTTCGAAACACCTACATTGATACAAAAACTCTATAGTTTATGGCTGCTTTTCTTGTAAGGGGCACATAGCGTTTTTAACTGTAGCGGGGTTAAACCGACCTGAATTGAATTAATAGTTGCGTTTATGCCCAATTTCTTCACTTCCAGATAAGTTGCGGATAACCTTATCCAGGAGATATCTCCATTGTATTCTGAAAGATATCTCTTGGATAAAGTTATCTAGAGGTGAAGAAATTGGGCATTAGTAGAATATTTATTTTGCAACTGTTAGAAGTTTCCTTTTTGGATTAGCTCGAATCTACAATAGATTTTTAAGCCTTAAGCCATAAGAAATGGAATCATAGTCAATTTCTTACGGCTTAACGCTTAAAATATTTATTATATGTATATATCCGGATTTATTATGGTAGCTGAAAATATGGTAGCTGTGGTACAATAAATATTTTAAAGATTTTTACCATGCGTCCAGTAAAATTAATCAAACTTATTATATATCTTACGTAGTTTTATTACGTAACGAATGAGAGAAATTTACATAAAATTCTCCGAAATATAATGTTATTCCAGGACTATCATATTTTCAGGGTAAACTAAGAAAAAATTTTCTCCGCGTAGCTGTCGCGGTTGCGGTTACATGTTTTACCTGCTATATAGTCGAAAACATTAACAATCGACACAAACGTCAAAGATAGAGCATTCGTATCGATTGTCTGTTGAAAAAAAAACAGTCTAATGCGGGGCCTGCAATAGAAGTCGTAAAGTTTCAACCCTACAACCGTTACAATTTCTATTGTAGACCCCGCATAAGTAATGTGAACAAGAGTTTTAGTTACTACAGATACGTTTTAAAACGCAGTTCTGTATGGGCGACGCCTTAAGGGTATATCCACACAAACTTGCGTAACCGCATAAACTTATAAAGAAAATTATCCAATCGTGTTTTTTCTATAAGACGCACGTAAAATGTGATTGGATAATTTTCTTTATGCATACGTTTATGCAGCTATGCAAATTTGTGTAGATATATACCTTAAGTCCTAAATAGGTATAGTAAACTTTAAGGAGGTTGTAAGGCAAATGCAATATGTTAAGAACTACTTGAAAAAATTGCAGACTATTCTAAATTTCATTTAATAATAATACAAAAAAAATAGAAAGAATTGACCATCTGGATCAAAAGTTATTTAAATAAGTAGTATTTTTTAAATTTGTACTCTAATATAAATATATGAAAATGTATTATAAAATAATGATAAAAATCTCAATTTTTTTATATAAATACTCTAGGAATTCAACAATATTTTTGTAAAGTTATCTTGAGATGCAGACATTAATTGTTCAGTAAATAAATAAAATTTGTTATTTGTTATAAACTAATGGTGAATCTCAATGAAACTTTGTATAAGTCATGTTTAGTACTTAATAAATTTATATAAAAACATTTAGATTTTTCTTATTATTTTAACAATTTTTGTTTATAACAATAAAACTAATAACAAATAAAATAAATAACCTATAAAAATGTGTTGCTCAATAAAACCAGAATGTTATGAACACAACTTTCACATGTATGTAGTTTGTTTAAAGCGAAAATATTAATATATGTGTTTTATGCCCTTACAACCTCCTTAAGGCCCACAACTCACGATTAACTCTTAACCAAGGTTCAACTTGTTTCTCATCTCTTTCCAATTCTAAAATTGAAAAGAAACAATGAATAAGTTAAATCTTAAAGGGTCCTCTACATAGAAGTCGTAGATGATCGTAGAGTCTTAAGTTATAGGAAACCAACCAATCACAATCAAATATAAGGAGAATACTCGATTAGAATTGGTCAGTTTCCTACGACTAAGACTCCACGACTGTCTACGACTTCTATGTAAAGGACCCTTAATGCTGGGTTTACAATAGAAATCGTAGCAGTCGTAAGGTCTTAAGTCGTAGGGTCTTAAGTAGAAAATTGACCAATCATAGTCGATTATTCTTCTCATATTCGACTGTGATTGGTTTATTTTCTACGACTTAAGATTCTACAACCACTACGATTTTTATTACAGACCCCGCATAAGAGTTAACTGTGAGTTGTGGAATTGGGCCTAAAGCCTATTCTATATACTTAAGACGCAGAACATGGGTCGCAGGTCGCAAAACTACAAACTAATCTAACGTATTTTAATTATGATATGATTGTAGGACGCAAAAAGTTGGGTGAACTTCAACTTTCGCGTTCTGCGTCTTGCGTTCTACGTATTGCGGTCTGCAACCTATTACAATCTGAGGCTACGTTTCAAAACTTCTTCTCCGAAGAAAATTTTACTCGAAATGTATAGTACACGTAGCGTGTATTATAGAGTAAAATCTTCTTCGGAAAGGAAATTTTGGAACGTATGTAGCCTGAAATATGTTTCACTTGCGACCTGCGACCTGCGTTCTGCGTCTTATGTAGAATGGGCTTAAGAAATTGACCAATCATAGTCGTGTATTTCTCTCATTCGATTGTGACTTAGGACCTCTTTCACCAATCTCGGTTAAGCTAAACGACGGTTACATGGGGTTCATTTAGGCCCAGTTTCACCCATCATTACTCATTATTATTTAAAATAAGTTAAACCTCGATTAAAAGTTAACCATGAGTTGTAAAACTGGGTCTAAATGAACCCCGTGTAACCGCCGGTTAACTTAACCGAGGTTGGTGAAAGAGACCTTCAAGTTATTTTCCATTTTCACATAAGTGATACTAAGTCTAAAGTTATAAATATTTTGTACTCACATAATGACATTACTACTTGTTTA